ATATATATATATATTACATATATAAATATACAGACATACATATATAAATGCATACACTGTATATATATCAAACATATATACATATACTTACATATATATACAGTAAATATATTACAAATAGAATATACATATTTATATATACATGTATACATATACATTACTATATACATATATGAATATTACATTTATATTACACACACACATATACATACATATATACATATGCATATACAAAGACATACATATACATATTAAATAAATCCATATGCATACACACATATACTACAATATACATATACATACACACATACACTACATATATATATATATTACATATATACATATATTCATATAAACATATACATATATTACATATATACATATACATATATTCATATAAACATATATATATATTACATATATACATATACATATATTCATATAAACATATATATATATATTACATATATACATATACATATATTCATATACATATATTCATATAAACATATATATATATATATATATATATATATATATATATATATATATATATATTACATATATATATTACATATATACATATACATATATGCATATAAACATATATATGCACATATATACATATACACATATATATTATATACATATATGAATATTTCATATATATTACATATATACATAAATATACATACATTTATATACATATACATATATAACATGTGTGTGCGTGTGCGTGTGCGTGTGCGTGCGTGTGCGCGTGCGTGAGCATGTGCGTGTGTGCGTGCGTGAGCGTGTGCGTGTGTGCGTGCGTGAGCGTGTGCGTGTATGTACACATATACATGGACTTATAAATATACTTAAACATATTATTATACATAAATGTATTATATGAATAAGTGAATATATCCATCTATATCTACATTTATCTATATAAACATATATATATATACATATACATATGCTACACATATATGTATATGCATACAAGTACTCTGTATGGATGGGTAGATGTATGTATGTATTTATGTATGTATATGTGTGTAAACGTGTCTGCCTGTGTGTGTGTGTGTATGTATATGTATATGTGTATGTGTATATGTATGTATATGTGTGTGTATATGTGTATGTATATGTGTATTATATGTGTATGTATATGTGTATGTATATGTGTATGTATATGTGTATGTATATGTGTATGTATATGTGCATGTATATGTGCATGTATATGTGTATGTATATGTGCATGTATATGTGTATGTATATGTGTATGTATATGTGTAGGTATATGTGTAGGTATATGTGTAGGTATATGTGTAGGTATATGTGTAGGTATATGTGTAGGTATATGTGTAGGTATATGTGTAGGTATATGTGTAGGTATATGTGTAGGTATATGTGTAGGTATATGTGTATGTATATGTGTATGTATATGTGTATGTGTATGTGTATGTGTATGTGTATGTGTATGTGTATGTGTATGTGTATGTGTATGTGTATGTATATGTATATGTATATGTGTATTTGCATGTATGTGTATGTGTATATGTACACTCACAAGAACGAAAACACACACACGCACACACGCACACACGCACACACACGCACACACGCACACACACGCGCGCGCGCGCGCGCGCGCGCATGCGTGCGTGCGTGCGTGTGCGCACGTTTGTGTTTTTGTGGTGATACTGGTAGTGGTGGTATTGTTTCTATGTCTGTCTGTTGGTCTGTTTCCCTGACTAGCTGAATGATTTGACGGACTGATTAATCGATTGACTGACTGACATACAGATTGCCAGCCCATTGACTGATTGACTGAGACGGACTGACAGACAAACAGACAGGCAGGTAGTCCAACAGACCGGCAGAAAGGCAAGCAGACAGGCAGACAAGCAGGCAGACAGGCAGGCAGGGAGACAAACGGACAGACAGGCAGGCAGGGAGACAAACGGACAGACAGGCAGGCAGACAAGCAGGCAGGTAAACAGGTCAGAAAGCAGACTGACAGGCAGGCAGGCAGACAAGCGGGCAGGTAAACAGACAAACAAGAAGATAGACAGACAGGCAGACAGGGAAATAGACGGATAAACAGGCAGGCAGACAAGCAGGCAGACAGGCAGACAGGCAGGCAGGGAAACAAACGGACAGACAGGCAGGCAGACAAGAAGGCAAGTAAACAGGCAAGAAATCAGACAGACAGATAGGCAGGCAGACAAACAAGAAAACAGACAGCAAGGCAGGCAGGCAAACTGACAGACAGACAAACAGGAAGACAAGCAGACAGACAGACATGCAGGTAGGCAAGCAGACAGACAGACAGACAGACGGAAAGACAGATAGGCCGATAGACAGATAGGCAGACTAATTATTCAACTGACTGATCAACTGACTGACTGACTGACTGCCTACCAGTTACGAAAGCATATGTGTGAAACCTGATAAAGGAGTGCCAGACGGTAGTATTTTCTGACTCCATTGTAGTAACTTAAAAAAGATA